ATGCGTGCCTCCACATCATTTGAAACATAATGATCACAATTCTGAATTTATGAACCACCATAGTTTGACAGAGTAGGAATGTGTTGGCAGGCCAAGATCTCACTCAAGATTGAGGATCATTTTCCTGCTAAATTCTGTGATCCTTGATATAACTACATCCTGATTTAAATCTCCAGTCCTGCTGCAAATCTGTATAAATATGAAATAAGAAACTAAATAAATGTTAGAAATATAGATCAGATAATCAAGGAACCCAACAGCTACCGGTAAAAAACAGGAAGAGGAATGACCTCAAAGCGCAGCACAATAACATAAATATTTTTCCTCTCTAAAGTTTCTAGAGAGAAAGGCTAATATTACAGCTACCAACCTATTAGCAATGCTCAGATTTATTCACCAACTTAGCAGGGATTTAAAACTTAAATTTAGAGAGGTAAAAGGAAACAAAACAATACTCAAACACCACAATTAATGTAACATTATTCACCAAGCATATCTTGGGAAATATAGACATGCGTGAGATATGATATTATGTTTAACAGAGTAACAATACACCCACAGTGCACAACCAGTTTGAAGAGTTAGCTACAAATTAGTGAAAGTTAAATTCATATATATATATATTGTGAAATATAATTCATATAAGTTACCCAAGAAAAGACATGCACCATTTGCATCATGCATGTGGATTGTGCATAATTTATCAGAAAACATAAAATTTGCTAGCTAAGAGCAGTTTAACCATTGTGTAAAAAGTAAACCAATTCATTGTTCAGCTTCCTTGTTTCTCATTCAACGGTAAAGCTGCTCAGTTGGTAGAGTGAGATTTCCCAAAAGTAAAAAAGTCAGTAACCAACTTTATGGAACACTGAACACAAAATAATGGTGCACATTTACCAACCACAACAGCACACATGACCCTGATTATGCACTCCACATATTGCATGGCAGATATTGCCCAAGAGTTTCATTTGTCCCTGTATCGTAGATATCAAAAATTTGCTCTAACAATACTGGGGGTACTTAATGCAAGAATAATTCCAATTAACAAAAACACGAATAGAGGGTTCCAAAGTTAAACCAACATGAAACATAGGACAACAAACACATCAATAAAACATGTAGATGCTGACTGACATAAAGAAAGAACTTCAATATTTCAATTGTAGTAATATGAGATTAACAAATTATCATCTTTTTGACACCAACAGGATACTCATAATAAGTTTAATTGAGAACATTACAAGTGGATAGATATAAACCACTAACTAAGAAAACAAAAACAACTAATTCATAACTTTAAAATTAAGGCTATTGATTACTTTCTTATAGAATTTTTCACAACACGGAGTAGATAATGAAAAATTGAAAGCACATTATTGCAACTCAGAAAAGTACACAAAACCACTTCAACTCAACTTAGAAATGGACATAAGAACCAAATATGACATAAGAAAGTTTAAAATAAAGCTGAAGTGAATACCTGAGGGAGCCTTTTTTAAATAAAAACTACGCATAATAATTTTACAACAAAAAGCAACAGCGAACTGCAAGTCAACATTATTCACTTCATTTCTACCTAAAGGTTGACATGAGTGAGCACTTGTTACAAAGCTTAACAAAAAGTTTCATATTATTCAGCAGACAATACCAAAAAAACATGAAAACTTTAAAATTTAACAAAAAAAAACTCTCAAAGAAGTGACTTGAAGTGCAAGCTGGACCCTCAGTAAGTATGCGCACTCTTTTTTCTGGGGTGCAGGGGAGCTTCATACAGCTCTCCCTGCTCAGATTGAACTTTCTTAAGCTTTGGATCTCAATCAAATATATTATCATTTCACATCCAATCAACTAATATATTATTACCAACCAAATATATTATCATTTCACATCACATATCTACCTCTGAGAATAATTTTAGATCTCTATATTCAGGAGAGTCAATCATAGCACATATATTTATCCTGGAGGTCAATGCCTTAACTTGCTAATATATTTATATCAATAATCAATACATACATATATATATTTACTAAAAAAAATATACATTCGTGTGTGTACACCCATGTATAGTTGCATACAATAAGGATGCCTATTTTCTTAGACACTTGGCGTGCATCTGAAATCTATCTTTCAATTAGTAACAAGTCAGGCATTAATTAATTATCATTTCATGTGTCCTCGGCTTTACTACTATCGAATATCTCTACTGGTCATTTTCTCAGACACTTGGCGTGCATCTTCAAGCGTACATTTTTCTTCCCGTGATGACTGGGTAACTGCGGGTGCAGAAATAAACAATCCACAATAAGAATTAAATCCAGTAGTAGCAAGAAGCAGTATATAATGCCTGACTTGCAAACATGAAATAAAACATTTTCCTTCGTGATACCCCTTTGCCTCTTCCAATACAAAAGGTAAGCTCTGGGGATGGATAATGAACACCTGACGGTGAAATACATAACAAACGTTCAGTCTATTTTGTGAAGATTTCAAAAAAGGAAATCCATTACAGAACAATAAATACAACTAATTAAATAAAAGGCAAAATCAAAACTATGAGGAATACTGAAGGGTTTATGTAGAAAAGTGAAGGGAAGAAGAAGAAGAAAGCTTGAATTTACCTGCAGGTTCTGCTCCATAAGCACTCCTTGTGTTGTTATATGATCCATCTCTACCCTCACTCAAACGACTGACGGCATTAGAGGACAGCGAAGTCAAGATCCCACAGCTGGTTTGTAAGCAAGGAGAAAGAAAAATTCATCTGGGACTGAGGAAGAGAGGAAAAAAAGAGAAGTGGGAGGAAGACAATGGGAACATGTGAAGGGGAGGGTAAAAACTGAGGAATGGATAACTTGGAAAGGAAGAGGCATGGGACAGGAATTTTTGCCGCTTTTGAAATAAAAGAGAGAGAGGATAGAGATGGAGGGAATTTTACATTTTGAATCTCACATTTCACACTTTAGCTGAAGCACGCGGAAAACGCGTCAGACACAAAATGAAAAGTGTAGTTATGTCGTTAGATGGTACAGCGAATGCGTGAGTAGTAGTTATGGTAAAAAGTGTAGCTTGATGTCGTTAAATAGATGAAAGCTCAGATCTTATTTATTTGTCTTCCTGGTTGTGTTGCCTTATATAAGCACTTACATATCCAAATACAATTCTGTTTAATTAATAAGCTCTAGGATGACAAGGAAAGGATTCTCTTCCATTTTTAATTCCACATAAGAAAGAGAGTCTATTCTATTCTATCCCCCCCCCAAAAAATTTCCTTGACATTGGTCCTTTATTGCTTATTGGCGATGTAAAGCATAAGAGTAGAGAAAGATATTATTGCTTATTTAATAAGCGAAAGTTGTTGGTAACTCTGGTTAGCTTTGGATAACTAGCCCATGCCATAACAAGGCCATTTGTGACATCATCACATTAATTATTATAGTTCGTATGTTACTATATATAAAAATATTCAGTGGGTTCAGCAAACAAACATATATTCTACAATATATATATGTGTGTGTGTGTGACATTCGAATAACTTTATAATCTACTAGGGTTATGAATTAGTGCCTACATTTGAATGGGTTACCCAAAAATATTGTGTTCCTGAAAGCATTATAGTACGGTGTTAGTTCACATGCTACACATCTAGACTACACACAGTTACTACTTGACATTTAGCCAAGATGATTAGAGACAGTGTTGGAATGGAATCGGTTTAGGTCCCTCTGATCAATTCTGGACAGTCCAAATTTAATTTTTTAAATAACAAAAATCATTTTTAAAAAAGTAATAATTAAGATATGATTTTTATTTTAGATTTTATACCTGTTAAATAATTATTTTAAAACATAAAAATAAAAAATAAATTTAGATCGTCCATATTAGATCTAGACAGTATAGATGAGATGAGTTTTGGGTGCTCATCTTAGCCAAACTGGTTTCGTTTGGAATATATGCTTATAATAATTCAAGAATTTTTATTGGGAGAAGGATATTCATTCCAAAGACGGAAAATTACATGAAGTGAATCATGTCTGAGGGTAGCAATGGAATCGTAGGGTGGCCTCTAACAAATGTCAAACCTAGCTACATTCAAATCGCAAAAGTTTCCATGGCCTTTAGCATAACAATCAAATTATAATAACGTTATTGATTTATATGAAAATAAATAATAATTTATATGCACTAATTAATTTCTCGCATGTTTAAAATACGTAATGTTTGACTAATTAAGCGATTTAGGGGTAAAATTAATATGGTGAAGTATAAAATTAAAAGTAAATATATTTTCAAAGGTGCGAGAATATAAGAGTAGAAAATATATTTTTAAACTGGTCCTTTTTATAATATTTTAAATTTTTTGAATTGATCCAGTTCCTGTTATAAGATTCACAACTATACATACATGATTGAAACTTTTGTTCAAATTTTTCTTTCCAAAGGGGTATACTGCTAGGAGTCCGGGACAAAATCAGTAATGGATGAATGCATTTGATAGAGTTGAAACATCATATGTAATTCACAACGATTCCGCTAAAAACAACAACTTTAGTTCATCATGATGGATTCATGGAATGAACAAAAATTTGGGCCACCCATAAATAAACACAAGCAAATGAACAAAAATTTTATCCATCCATAAATATTGCTAAAAATTGAGTAAGCGGCTAACAACAGTGAAAGTGGCATTGAAAGACACTTCAATTCATTCATAAAGGATTCACGAAAAGAAAAAAGAGAACTCTTCAACAAAACAAATCAGAATGTCCATCTAGATGAAGTTGTTCAAACTTTCTGAACTCTAAAAGCAACATACACCACAAAACATGAAATACACACGCACATACACATATATGTAGTTACAATCCAAAGCAAGCTATTACTTACAATTATTAAATATACCAACTCCATATAGCGAAGAAGTGTCATAAGAGCTATCCACTAATTCATATGACAATGTTGAAAGTCGATACTTTTTGCTTAATTGCAAGCAACTCTGCCTAAACATCTTTGATATCCATTCTTTCACCAGGCAATTCTGCACAGCATGCCACACCAATCCCAGCAAAGCCAGCCAGACACTCTTGAATGTTGCGTTCCATATTTGAATTCTGCATAATTTTCCTATGGTCTCTATCAGATAGAACAAGCAAATTTGGATCCACAATCTGAAGGACTCTATCAGGTAATGCTAGCATGCAGAATTTGCGTAGGCTTAGATCCTCACGAAACATGCTATCTGTCGGCTTCTTTCCAGTGAGCATCTCAAGCATAAGAATCCCATAGCTATAGATATCCCCTTTTGTTGTAACTTGGACACTTTCTCCATACTCTAACCAAACATTAATATCTTTAGAAATATCAAATTCCATAATAATTAAAGTTGTTTTAGGTAAAAACGAGCATTTAAAAAAAACAAACAAACATGTTACTGATATAAATGTTTAGTTAGTCTTGAAGTTGACCATACTCAAGATTTATTTTCTATTAGTTAATTCATTACTAGAAAATAAATCAAGTTTCATATTGAACAACACACAAAAAAAAAAACAACAACATAAGAAAGAGTTATACCTGGAGGAATATAGCCAATTGTTCCCTTAATTGCCGAAGATGTAGTTTGGCCCACACTAGAGTAGCTTGTAACTTCATGAAGAAGCCTAGCTAATCCAAAGTCTCCTAAGTGCGCAACCATATCATCACTAAGAAGAACATTACTTGGCTTGATATCACAATGAACGATAGTTTCCTCAAAACCATAATGAAGATAATCCAAAGCATAAGCCACATATATGGCTACATCCAATCTATGTCCGAAATTCAAATGTAGATCTCTAGGTTCATCAAGTTCATTCGCCGACAACCAATTCTCCAAGCTCCCCTTAGGCATGAACTCATAAACAAGGGCCTTAAAATCATTGCCATTGTAATCAACGCTTGAACATGAAGTCAGAATCTTCAAAAGATTCCTATGCCGGACTTTACTAAGAGTCTTGCATTCTGTGATGAAACTCTTTGATGCCCCATGTGCTTGAAGATTGAGCACCTTCACGGCAATAAAACCTTCAAAGTGCTGAAGAGTTCCTTTATATACAGAACCAAAGCTTCCTACACCAACCAAATTGGATGAAGAAAATCCATTGGTTGCATCATGCAGCTCTTTATAAGAAACCCTCACATGAGCATTTTGTGAGGAAGAAGGGGAGGAAGACAACTTTTTATGTTTTCTTCTCTTGAAAATGATGAGGCAAATTGCAACACAAGTAAGAGCACTGCTTGTCACAATGATAAGTATTATAACTTTGAAAGGCTTCTTTGACTTACTTGGGCATGTAGGTAGCTTTAGTTGAGGTATACCGCCACAGAGATCCTCGTTTCCCGCAAGTGAAATAGCTGTGATATTATCAAACACTCCTCCTTTTGGAACCTCACCATAAAAATGGTTGTGAGATAGGTTCAAAATCTTCAATATCGGAAGATCTTTTAGTTGTTGTGGGATTGTGCCTGATAAGTTATTGTTGGAAAGGTCTAAGTTGATGAGGGATTTCAAGGAACTGAACGATGAGGGGATAGTTCCATGAAGGAAGTTCCCACTCATATCAAGATCTGTCAATTGTAAGCATTCCCCAAGTTCTATTGGAATATCACCAGAAAAACTATTTTCACTGAGACGTAATTCCACTAATTGCTTCATGTTACCAATCTCGGATGGAATGGAATCAATCAAGAAATTGGAAGACAAATCAAGATGAATTATGCTTTCTAATTGACCAAAAGTTAGCTTTGGTATATTCCCACTCAAGTTATTATGACTTATGTCCAAGTGTTGCATACCTTTGCAATATTTGAGGCTTATTGGAATAGTTCCCTCGAAATTATTTATAGACAACGTAAGTGTAAACAACTTAGTAAGATTTCCAAAGATATCAGGAATCCTACCAGATAATTGATTTCCTGCTAGATATAACTGCCCAAGATTTTCAAGCTTTCCAATTGAATGTGGAACTGTGCATTGGAGGAAGTTAAGTTCTAAATTAAGGGTGGTTAATCCATCTAGTTGCCCAATCTCATTAGGTATGCTTCCAGTGATATGATTGGATCCCATACTAAGCCATTCAAGCTGGGAAGAGAGATTCCCAATTGAATTTGGCAATACACCGCTAAATCTATTATATAGCATCTCTATTTCTTGCAATTGACTACAATTTGTTAATGATGAAAGGAAATCTAGATCATGACCTTCTTCACTCCCAAAATTATTTGTGTCAATCTCAAATATACGAAGCTTTTGTAGTCTTCCCAAAGAGGTAGGGACTAGACCCCTAAAAGCATTTTCATATATTGCAAATTGTTGCATTTGAGAGATGTTGGATAATGAAGCTGGAATAGTTCCTGTCAACAAGTTGTGTCCCGCATAAAAATATCGAAGATTTGGAAAAACAAGGCCAATATTTGACGGAATAGTTCCAGAAAAGTGGTTGTAATCAAAACTTAATTCTTCCATGCGAGAAAGATTATAAAGTGAAATGGGGATTATGCCAGAAAGATTGTTGCTAGCAAGAGAGAGCTTGTATAAATTTGAAAGTCCACCGAGAGGTTGGGGTATACTTCCCTCCAAATTATTAGACGCAAGATACAAATGCTCCAGTGATGAAAGATTTCCCAAAGAAGGTGGTATTGTGCCATGAAATTCATTAGCAGCGAGATTCAACCTTGTAATTTGCTGCATAGATCCGAACCAGAAGGGAATTTCGCCGGTCAAATTATTCTCAGTAAAGTAAATTTGCTGGAGTTTGGAACAATTTGCCAACTCTACAGGGACTTCTCCCTCGAGATAATTTTTTCTCAAATGCAGATATTGCAGTCGTCTAAGACGACCAATCTGTTTGGGAATTTGACCATGCAATCCATTATACGAAAGATTGAGCAGTTTGAGAAAGGTTAAGTTACCTAATGCTGGTGCAATAGTGCCCTCCAGATTTTGATTTGTCAAGTTCAAAGCTGAGACTCTCATGTGACGGAGACTGCACGTAACGCCTTGCCATTTGCAGAAGTGGACGGAATCATTCCATGAAGACAGAGCTTCAGGGTTGCCATCTGTTAACTTATCTTTCAAAGCAAGCAAAGCAAGCCTATCAGTCTCTGACCCAGTGGCCATGGCATCTCCAATTGGCAGTAGAATTTGAGAAGCTATGCATAGCAAGAAACTAATGGTAATTATGTAGGGGATCATTTTGATTGTAGCAAAGGAATGTACAAAATGAAGCCGCATGCTCAACAACTAGACATGCCGTGATAGCTTTATGCTGTCTCTGGCAGTTATTATGAGATCTAATGTGCTGTTAAAATTGAAATACAAACTATATCTTATACTCCCTCCATCCATTATTATAAGCAACATCAGAGCTCATCACATAAATCAAAATATTAGTTAAAATTAGTTAAAGATAATAAATATGTAAAAATTAAAAATTCTTTCAACAAAATGCCCTTATTTACAAGGAGAGAGAATATAAGAGAGAGAACAAGAAAATTATTATAATAAAAAGAATTATGAAAGAAAAAGAATGCGTAATAGAGAGATGATCATTTAAAAAATAAGATAATAAATATATTGAATATTAAAATAAATAATTAATAAGAACAAAATAAGAAACTCGTTACAAAATTTAAGACAATTTATAAATATTATTTATATTTAAAGATAAGAAGAAAATAATAGTTATTACTTAAAGGAGACGTAAGAGTATTAAACACGGAAAGTAATTTGAATTACTAAAGGCATTGACAGCCAAACCTCATGTCTCCAAGGTCAAAAATGAGCCGCGTACTGTATGGACATGATTGACGGGGGAGGGGACCGTCTTGAATGCTCTAGGTACTGTACTGTTGACTTTGACAAGCTTTGTCGCGTAGAGAATTTTTTTTTTTGGTCAAAACAGTCGCGTAGAGAATTAAAGACGATCGCATATGTGGAGAACAAATCTGTAAAATGAAGCGACATCCCCAAAAGCCGCGAATATTCATGGTATCTGTTCCCGGCTTTATCTCCGAAATATCTGAGTTGACGTATTTAAATCTTCTTCTTTTTATCCTTAATATAAAACATAAATAACTATTTTAAAAAGGCTAAAATTTTTGTTAACTGTATATATTTTATTAAAGACTAAAATCTTTTTAATAAAAATTTCTTATAATCAATAAAAATATTTTTTCCAAACATTATAAATTTAAAAGACAAAATAAATTAAAACCAATCAAACCTAACGCGCTCTTGCATTGAGATTGGTATTGGGCGTGTTAATACCTAAATTTTGTGAGCAGGTGCGGGCTCAATCTCATAACTTTGGGGGCCCAAGTGTTTGAAAATATCAAGTATCATTTCATTGAAAAATCAACCTGAATATTTAATAAACATACTTTGAAAAAAAAAATCAAGTGTCTATCTAAAGTCTAAACCTCGATTTTAGTCATTCTCACCTAAACCCTCCTATTTTGATCAAATTAATTGATTAAATAAAAATAGGATATTTGGATAAATTTTTAGAAAATATATAGTTGAAAAGTAGCTAACAGTAACTTATGCGATGCCTATAGTTTTTGGTTTATAATTAATTTCAGCATTTATAGAGAGTGTTTAGTAGGTTACGAAATGAACATGATATGGTTATGGGCTCGTAAGTATAATTTTGGCATGTGTGTAGTGCCTACAATGTGCGTATGATATATTCTTCTTATCCTTAATATAAGACCTAATTAATTAATTTGAGTGAATTAAAAATGTTAGTTAACTTAGTTGACATGATGTGCTTTTCTACAATACCCTAAGCGTCTTTTTTAATTATTTCTCCTACTTGATCATTATTAAGAAAAAATTAGTATGACTAATTTAGAAAAAATTGATAAATATGTGAAATAGGTTTTAAATATGGGTCCAATATCAACTTTTTAATTATGTCTTATATTAAGGATTGAAGGAATTTAAGACGGGAAAAATAACATAAAAAGGTTAAAAATTGCAATATTCTAATTAAGGCACATAAGAGGTCAAAATCCCAAGATAGGAAGTGATATATGATCTGGCATTTTGCAAATGTAGTTAAATGACAAAAATATCCTTGTATAGAAAAGTTTATTAACAAGTTGTGCATTGGCAATAACAAGTATTGAACAGCAAATGACAAGAAATGTACTAGTAATGACAAGTTATTTATTAATAAGTTGTGAATTGTTAATAACAAGTGTTAAACGACCAATAACAAGAAATACATTAGCAATGATAAGTTTGATAGCTTTTTTTTTATATAAATTTTGATACAAGAGCATTTGAGTAATCAAACTACGTTTGCATAATACCAGATCAAGTACTACTTCTTTTCCTGGGATTTTGACCTCCTGGGTACTAAGAAAAAGCAAGGAAGAGAGAGAGAGAGAGAGAGGAAGAAGAAGCACCCACAGAACCGGGTTACTCTTATGCAAGGTTTGACAGTATATTGATTAACTTTCTACTATCTTCTAATAAAATTTGTTCTTAACGTCTGCTATTTTGTTACTTTCCATTTTCTGCTATGTTTTGTTAACTTAGGAATGAGTAATAAATTTCATTACCTAAGCAGTAAATTTTGATACTTGGTAATAAATTGTCCTGATTGGTTTGTGATGAAATGACAACACTTAAAATGTGAATGAGATTATATTTGTATTAGTAATAACAACTTTTCCGTAAAGTCAAGGGGATTGACTTGTTATTGAAATTGAACTCATTTGTTAATGAAACTGATCATATTTATTATGGTAATGACTACATTGTTGTAAAGCAAATTAAATTAAATGGGTTGTGGGATTTACTATACTTTTTAATAGAATTGACTATGTTTCTTTTGATAATGATTAGATTATTATGAAGAAAATATAGTATAGTGGATGACTATAAAGTGGTGTTTTTGCAGGAAGGAAAAATGATATTACAAGTAGAGCCAAGCAAAGAAGTGAAGAGTGGATGCATATTATTTCGAAAAGAATTTCCTAGGTTAGGGAAGAAGTTTAAGAAGAGTGTTGTACACACAAATACATTATCCAACTATTGTTATAATATTTGACTTATAATTGTAGATAGAATTTGTTTACAAAAATATATTTAATCACTATTATTGCATATTTATTGATAACAAGTGCAAATTATGCTTACTGTTAGGTGTCATTATAATGAAGGTACGTAGCTTTTAAAAGCATTTGCGAAGTAATCAACAACTTTCAAAATGAATACACCAATTTCTATAATGTGTTTTACAATCTTTTTAATTTGTAACCATTTCTAATCCGTTTGCATGCAATTTTACTAAACATATAATAAGAATAATAACTTGTGAAATAAAAATGACCATTTGCATAAAGAGTTTTATAATTTGTTATAAGCTATTTGCAAACAATATTACAAAACAAGTAAAAAGAATCACAACTAGATAATGAAAGTTGCCATTTGCATTAGCAGATTTGCAACTTATTTATTTGCAATTATTTTTAATATTTTTGCTCACAATTTTACTAAATATATAACGAGAATAACCACTTATGAAATGAAAATGACCATTTGCGTAATAAATTTTGCAATATATTTTAATTGCGTTAGTATGTGAAAATATTCAACTGCATTTTTTTTAACTCTAGGGATGTATTAGTCATTCTACCAAAATATGCAAATCTCAAATTCATATCTCATGTCTATTTAGTCATTTCATTTACTTGAATTACCTTTTTGTCTTTTTCAATTTTAGTGTGTACTTTTTTGTCATTTTCCCTAAAAAAAATCATAGATATTACAATTTAATTTTATATTTCCAATCAATCACACATAAAAAAAAAAAAAAGGAAAATTGATCGAGGAAATCTGCAAAATGAAGCGACGTGTTGACGGCTAGATCTCGAAATATCCAAGTCAAAGAATTTAAATTTCCTTCTTAGAAAATTGACCGGCTGTATTTGAATTTAAACAAAGAATTTCCGTTTTTTTCATGACAAATAATTAAAAATAGGAGTATATATTATAATATTCACAAGACTTTCTGAGCAATTTTGATGGGTGAATGATAATTGTTGACCATATATTTGAAAAAATGAACTTAGGATGTGGTTTGTCATTTCAGTTTTCTACTTTTCCGTCTTCATCATGCATGTACTTTTAAATTAAATGAACCTTATATTATTAATTAAAAATATTACAATTTTAGGGAAAACACTTAAATTTTACTACTTAATATAAGAGTTAGTTTAACTTTCAATTTGATTCTAAACATAAGACTCCAATTCACTTTATCTCTCATATTTGAGTAATCTTTGTAGTTATTGCATATGTTAAAGGTTTTATCAAATGGTAGTTCTAGCTAATGCATATGATTATCAAGAAATTTTTTTAGATAAGATAACACTTATTTATTACAAATAACGAACCTAGCAAACTTTTTTTTAATCTATTGAAATTAGTCAACTAGTTCTTATATAAAGAACCAATGTATTAACTTTATGAAAATGATATTCAAAAGAAAATTAAATAACATTCTAAGGCCACAGATATTATATTTTATAATAACTTATTAAAATTTCTTGGCACATATTATAAATTACTAGAATTTTGGGAAATTCATGATACCAATACAATATTAATATTAAATAATAGCAAATTTATTTGATTTTTTTTGACAGATAAACGTAACTAGAAAAAATATTTGAAGTGTCTTTCTTGTCTCGATCTGCAAAAAAAAAAAGGACTTTGAAGTTTTTTTTAATTCATCTGAAAGAAAGGAAAATATAACAAAGAAGACAATGCCAATAAAAGGGAAAAAAAAAAAAGTAATATAAGAGTAAAGAGTGGGCAAATTATGAAATAGCATGGTCTCCATATTTGGGAGTCTTCGCCCACGTGGGACCCAGATCCCTCTTTGTGACCTGTGAGACGAGGGGAGGTCGTTGATGTGAACATATCCCCCACAATTACGATGCCCTTGCCCCTCACGTACGTCGCTGTTGACCAGTATATGGGTATGATGATGATCATGTATGTGTGTCCGTATGCGTGTGTATTTATATATATGTATATATATATATAAAGCATTCACATCTTTGTAATTTCATGTAAGTTTTATGAAGCTTTGGAGCATGTTA